GGTGTGTGCCCTGACAGGAGGGTGAAGCCCAGAGGGGCAGGAGGATGAGGTGAAGTGAGGATGATGACTAACTGGCTAGAATCAGAAGAAGCAGCAGTCCAAATAGGGATGAGGGGAAAACACGAAAGATACATTACAAGTGGCGAAAGTGCCGAAGATGATCTGTGGAGCTCAGGGGTTACGGAGCTTATGGAGGTGGGGTTGAAAGTCCAAGGAATATTGGCAATGGTGTTTACGTAGTATGAGGTCACCAATGCAGTGGACTTAAGCCAAGGTGGAGTCAAAGTCCGAGGTTGGAACTATGACGGAATCTCGGAGCGAAGGTACAAGCGGTGTCCGAGTACAAGGTACGGGACAGCAGTGGAAGGTCGTAACTTGCCAGAGGGTCGGCAGGAGAGGGTCAGAGGAAGGAGAGAGGAGAGAGGAATGGGGAGAGGAGTGGAGGAGAAGGAAGTTGTTGTCATATCCATACAATCCCGACCTCCGCTCCGGGCTCCCGGAACTCCGAACCTGACTTCCAGAGTCCTACTTCCCTTCTGCCACCTCCTCCTTGCCAACTTCCAAGAGGTTATCCCACCTCCAGCTCCAACACCACCTTCGGTCCGACTCCGGAACATTCCGGGTCCGACCTCATCCTCGACACCTTCCAGACGAGCATGCAACACCTATGCTCCCGACTCCGGACCTCCACTCCGGAATCCCATTCGCGTCTCCGTCTCCAGAACCTCCGGTCTTAGCTCCGACCTCGGACTTTGACCCCACCTCCACTTATACCCATTGTATTGGTTAGCTCATTCCATTTAATTACGTTTGCCAATATCCTGGAGTTTAACTTCTGAGTTCGGACTTTCCGGACTTACGTCAGACCTTGCAACTATTGCATTGCTCCATTCAATTCCACTATTCTCCCTCATTCCTATTTGGGCTGCTGCTTCCTTTCTATTCAGTCAGCTGGCCATTCCCCACTCCCATCCTCCTTCCTTCCTCCTTGGGCCTTGGCCCTTCACTCCTCCTTTGGGAAACACCATTGAGTCAAACCCTTGACCCTCAGTGTTGTTCCTCCTTCCAGCTCCCTTTGTCTGCTTTCGGAGTACCCTTGCTCCTTTTGATTCTGGACCCCTCCTTATATACAATTGTCAGGGACAGCTCCGAAAGTGGCAAGGTCCCGGTGCGAGGGACTCGATGGGACAGGTGTCAGCTATGCGTAGTGGCAGTCCCATTGCGGGGTGAGCATCCCTGACCACTTAGTCTGAAGTGGGAAGTTGAGAAGAAGGCTGCTTCTTCTGTTCCCACCCCAGGCACTATTATATACATGCGGTTGGGGTCACATGGGGGGAGCCATGTCATCTCCGCACACAGCCGCACTTCCCTGGGTATCTCCATGGGAGATCCCGGAGGTGTGCCGCTCTGTGAGCGGGAATGTGCACAGTGGGCATGGCGATCAGGGGAGCGGGGTTAGGTGTGTAGTGATACATAGAGAAGGGGAAGTCGACCGTGGAACGGAAATAGAAAGAAAGAAGAAAAGGACAAAGAGGAAATGGGGAGTGATAGCGGGGGGAGCAGAGTAGGGCGGCATGGCGCGGGGTCAGGTGGGGTGTGCCCTGACAACAATGTACATAGTAACTTGTAACCTCAGTCTGAAATCGACCTGAAATGCCCCCAAGAGACTTTCCCTCTGCTAGATCCGAAATTAGGGACCCCCAGGACAACCAGCAATGGCACAGCGCTCCACCTGAGTCGCTGAGGCTGAGGTCCTTCCACGCTAAGTCTCCAATTCCACTCCGGAGTCGCCCAAATCTGCCTGTTCTAACAGTTGTCAGGTCCAAAGGTGAGTATCGGAGCGGATGGGAGAAGGGTAGGAGAGTGACGGAAGGGTGGAGGTGTCGTGAGGAAGAGGAGGAGTGAGAGGAGGAGTGTGGCAAGGAGTGGTGTTCGGTCTGAGGTGAGTATCGGAGTGGATGAGGATAAGGTAGGAGAAAGACAGAAGGGTGGAGGTGGCATGATGGGTGAGGGGAGGTGTGGTGTCAGGTCCGAAGGTGAGTATCAGAGCAGACGGCGGTAGGGTAGGACTCCGGAGGTGGTGAAGATGGGGGTCCGGGAGTCGGATCGGGATCGAGTATGTACAGATATGACAGCTCCAGCCCAACTGCATAGCCTGGACATCCATAACCTTCCCTGTCTGTATCACATCCACATCTGTTGACCAGTCTATTATCAGAGGAGTGTCTAAGATGTGTCTGAACTCTGAAGAGGCAAAGCAGAAAGAATTATTATTGAAGTGGTGGCTAAACAGTGGTCTGCAGTGGCTGGGCTAATAGAAAATCTATTGATGTATTGAAGTTTATGAACCAGTTCACATGAACGGCCGTTCTGTGGGAAAGTTCATGACCTGCAGGTTCATGAACCAAAGTTTATGAATGTTCATGAACCAGTTCATGAACCAGCATGTTCATGCCCATCTCTAACCTCCCATGCTTTCAGCTTTGTGCATAAATACTTCTTTCAAACCCTCTTTGTTTGCTGTTGTGAAGCTGATTGTACACCACTATTAATGTCTTCCCTTTTTGCTAGTGCACTTGCACTTCTCTCTGTTGGAGGAACCATGTGCTATGGGAGGCCGGACGAGTTTTCGTACAGCCACATTCCCACATCCGAGTGAGGAACTCACCTGGACAGCCACATTCCCGCGCTAGCGTGACTACTTGGTCACAACACCTCTTTTATATTATTTCGGACTAACCTGTGCCAGGCCACAGATATATTCATTCATTTGAATTCATTTCCTTTTCCCTCAGTTCTTCACACATATTTAGCCTCAGTCCCAGGCCTTCTGGTCGCAGATTTAAGCGGTGTTAACAGCGGAACTGCTCGGAAATAGAGTTGGTGATAAAAATTTCATTCCTCGGTTCGCTCCCAGAAGGCCTGGTACATTTCATACCTCGGTGTCACTTTGGAGGGTCACGTGTCCACATCTGGTATGGCCACACAGTCGCATGAATTCAGATGAGCCCTGAACAGTCAGGGAGGAGTGAGAAAGCAAGTCACGACGTGTTGATAGGGGCTTCAAACCCTTCCCAACATTCATCTTCCGAAAAATCCAAGCAAATTACTGCAAGATGTGTGCAATCATGGAACCCGCATCACTGGCGCTCAGGATGCCCCCTCTAGCTCCTCTAATTTCTGTCTTGCAGTCAGTATTTGATTTAAGAAAGTTACTGGGTTCAATGTGCATGAGTGGCAACTAGATGTTGCCGAAGCACTTCATCTTCGCTTGAACTGTGTTGTGATTGCCGGCACTGGATCTGGCAAAACTTGGCCCTTTGGTCTCATCCATCTGGTGGCCAGGGGCTTCACCAGTATTGTGGTGTCACCATTGAATGCGCTCGAGGATGACCAGGTGAGGCAAGATCTCAGTGACCTCTCAGCTTACTTCTGATCGATATGCCAGGTTGAGCGCTTCACGAAGGCTGGCATATCAGCGCATGCGGTAAATGTGCAGACATATCATGGGGCAATGCTATCTCAAGTATGTATTGACTTGCACTGCATAATTATGAGCTCACTCATCCATCTAGTGTTAGAATGTGCGGATTCGGACGACTCCGGAATGGAATCGGAGACTTAGCATGGAAGGACCTCGGCCTCAGCGACTCAGGCGGAGCGCTGTGCCATTGCTGGTTGTCCTAGGGGTCCCTAATTTCGGATCTAGCAGAGGGAAAGTCTCTTGGGGGAATTCATGTCGATTTCGGACTGAGGTTACAAGTTACTATGTACATTGTATATAAGGAGGGGTCCGGAATCAAAAGGAGCAAGGGTACTCCGAAAGGAGACAAAGGGAGCTGGAAAGAGGAACAACACCGAGGGTCAAGGGTTTGACTCAATGGTGTTTCCCAAAGGAGGAGTGAAGGGCCAAGGCCCAAGGAGGAAGGAAGGAGGTTGGGAGTGGGGAATGGCTAGCTGACTGAATAGAAAGGAAGCAGTAGCCCAAATAGGAATGAGGGAGAATAGCGGAATTGAGTAGGACAATGCAATAGTTGCAAGGTCCGAGGTAAGTCCGGAAAGTCCGAACTCGGAAGTTAAACTCCGGAATATTGGCAAACATAATTAAATGGAATGAGCTAACCAATACAATGGGTATAAGCGGAGGTGGGGTCAAAGTCCGAGGTCGGAGCTAAGACCGGAGGTTCCGGAGACGAGACGTGAACGGGATACCGGAGCGGAGGTCCGGAGTCGGGAGCATAGGTTTTGCGTACTCGTCTGGAAGGTCGGACCCGGAATGTTCCGGAGTCGGACCGAAGGTGGTGTCCAAGCTGGAGGTGGGATAACCTCTTGGGAGTCGGCAAGGAAAAAGTGATGGGAGGGAAGTAGGGCTCCGGAAGTCGGAGTTCGGAGTTCCAGGAGCCTGGAGCGGAGGTCGGAATTGTATGGATATGACATCTAGGACATCCAAGCGAAAAAGTATTGTGTATTACTCACTTCACCTGAAATGCTGCACAAAAACTCGGCTTTCCGTGAAGATCTCAATGCAATCATGCCATCGATTGACAAGCTCATTATTGATGAGGCACACTGCATTGATCAGTGGGGTGCTGACTTTCGGCCAGACTACGCGACTCTTGGCGACCTTTGTTCATTTTTTTCCTAAATCTGTTCCTTTCCTTGCCACCTCTGCCACCCTTACTCCCAGCGCTCTGTCATCAACCATGACCTCCCTCCATCTTCACGGCACAAGCACATACATACTGAACCTCGGCAACGACCGACCAAATGTCACAATGGAGCTTCGGACTATGCGTGGCAATGTGTGGAACCTGGAGAACCTCTATGATATTTGGCAGGAGGCACTGGGAGGATGCATTCAACGTTGTATGGTGTTTGTCAATGAGACAAAAACTGCCCAGATCCTGTGCCACATCATCTGCAAGGGCTTGCCTGAGTGCTGTAGAGGGGAAGTTGACTCGTATTTTGCGCTCCGAGGCCCAAAGACCAAACTACACATCATGGAGCAGTTTAGGAAGGGGAAGGTGAATGTCTTGTTCACTACAGAGGCTGCTGGAATGGTGCGTGTTCACTCATTCCATGTTGCATTTCATTCACTAACCAATACTCGCATACTCATATACCATAGGGTTGTGATATTCCCGATGTGAAGATAGTCGTACAGTTTGGAGCCCCGAAGACACTAGCTATTTGGGTTCAACGTGCTGGCCATGCTGGTCGATCTCCACTTATACAGGCACGAGCAATTTTGCTCTTTGAACCATCTGCCTTCCAGATGCGCAAGAAACGAGGCCTGAAGGCAAGCCAGGGCATCCATAGTGCTGAGGCTATGGTAGCATCTGGCAACGAGCCAGATCCAGCTGAACTCTGCAACAATATGGGTTCTTTGGTTCAGCCACACACCCATGTGCATGAAGACGATGCTGAAGATAGCAACAGTGAGGGTTCTGATGACAATGGAGATGATTACCCCACTATGGCGACTGCTACCAATACCACCGCCCCACATTCAAACACCGTCATTCCCGTTTCAACCCCAAAAATTCAAAATAGCAACTTAAATACACCGAATGATTCAAACCAGTATGAGTGGCAAAAGAAAATCGATGATGACCTTCATGCCTTCTATTGCACATCAACATGCCGGCGGAAATGGTTGGACCAATACTTTGGGAATCCAATGGGGCCTAGGTGTAAGTTGAAACCTCATTTCCTTTCCAGACATGTTACTGACTAGTTGACTTGTAGGTATTACAGGTGAATGCTGCGATGTTGTATGAAACATGGACAAGTTCAGCAACAGACATTGGAGGCTGTATCCCCAAACCCTTCCCCTCAGAAGAATTCACGGAAACTTGGTATGAATTCCAAGCCCCAACCAACATCTCCCTCCCCTGCAACCCAGAGGTCTCCGCTGCGGCCTCGACCCCCTGTTGTTTCTCCCACAGACTGTGCCTCTGAGTTCAACCCATCAGTCTCAGAGGGAAGACCAAACGACAAACACGCCATGATGAGGACCACCGCTGGCAAGCTGAGCAGGCACTTCAGAAGTGGCGCACAATCACGTGGCAATCCCACTACCGTTTACACCATTTCCAGGCCGTTGATCTGCTTCCCGAGGCAATCCTCAAGTGGATAGCCCTCCACAAGGCCTGGAAAACTGTAGCAGATCTTCAGAAAGTTTGGCCAATGGCGGAGATTCATGGGATGGAGGTTCTCAACAATCTGGCGGAAATAGACAATCAATATGACACTGAGCTGCGCGAACGCAAAGAGGCAAAGAAACAGGAGACAAGGATGTGGAATGAGCAGAAACAAATTGAGAAACAGCTGGAGAAACGAGCTCGTGAGCAAGAGAGTGCAGTCCATGCCACTGCCACCAGAGTTTATGTTTCACAGAATCAGCCACCACGCAGTTTCTTTTCTCCACACACTCCAGCAGTACTGAACAGCCCTTCAGTGCCATCATCCCCCTCGATTTTTGTCTTTCCTCAGACACCAAATACTGGTGGTGGATCCACATACACTGCATATCGCGACATTGTGAACACACCTCCAAGTACATCCCCTTTTTCTTAATTCCAAACATAGGTAGCTTATCAAGGATGCCAATTATAAACAGGGCCAACCACTTTGTACCAATATGCACAGCCAAGCTATTCTTTGATCCAACCCCCCGCATATCGGCCATTCCCATCCCTCCCCCCCATTGGCCCTTTGTCACCTCACTCGTTACCACTGCCTAGTTTTTCTCCGATGTCAGTGGGCCCTCAGTGGCTGAGAGCAGAACCATCAAGTCCCAGTCCTCAAACATCCGGTCCCAATCCTCATCATCGCCGTCAGATGCTGGAGAGGCATCTTGCGATCCCATCCCTTCCACCAAACTTGTCTGGCCGAACTCATTCTGGGCCAGGATCTCAGGCTGCTGTGGATCATTGATGTAATCCTGGTTAGTAGCACACTCATAGTTGGCAGGCCATGATTTCCACCACCTCTCCCACACAGAACCCACCATCATTCCTTTAAATCCTAGCCATGTAATGTCGACAGGTATGTCTTTTTGTTCTAGCTGGCAGCCTGCCTGCTTACAGTGCACTCTATCATCCCGGTAGTGATTCATTAATGATAGAACATCTTTATCTTTCGTGGGGACTGTGTGATGTTTTCCCCAGCTTGCCCCAGCAATTATCTTCTGGACATGAAGATTTATTGCTTGTAATACCGGGATAGCTGTCAGAGTCGGGATTATTGTCAGAGACTGGGATATTGTCGGTGTCGGAGATTGTGGCAGAGGTCTGTTGGAGCGCGCACGCGCGGATATGCGGGCGGAAATATGCGGCGCGTCCGGAAGCGCTGTTCAAGGTTAGCAGAGTGGGATCGCGGCCTCAGCGACTCAGGTGGAGCGCTGTGCCCTGAGCTTGACGTTTGGGGGAGATCCCGTATTTACAAACTGACACTTACAGTGGACTTCAAACCAGACTTGTGGGCGGAGCGGACCTGTAGGAGGAGCGCAGACTCCGTGAGCACGGACTCAGAGGGGGGAAGCCCCCTTTGCAGAAGGAGGGACTCAGACCAGACAGGGGGGTACTCTAGTTGATTTCAGACTGGGGTCCCCGAAAGTATTTACAAGGTATATAAATAGGCAAGAGGGAATATAGAAAGGCCGGTCAGTCCGGCGCGGAGATAAGCGGGAATTGTCAAACTAAATAAGGACAAGAGCCCGGGAACTGGAAAGGAGGAACAGATCACTAAACAATAAGTGGCAAGGGTTATTGATGAATAACTGAATGAGATCAATAACCTAGTGCCAATAAAGAGGGGATCAAATGCCGATATTGGCAGGGAAGCAAACAATAAATGGCACTCAGCAAGGAATGAATGATAAGCTGCCAAGTGACAAATGGCCAGAGGAAAAGCGGAGGTCAGCGCGCGGCGCCGATACAAGTCCGCAAATAAGCGGGGTCGGTGCGGTGCCGACACAAGTCCGCGAACAGAAGTTGATCTGCCAGCACTGTCACACAAGGACAGCATGAAGGCCAACAGAGGTACAGAGGGGAGTGGGAGTGTTGACCTGACCAGAGGTGTCAAGGGCAACCAGAAGTGGCCAGAAGGTGCAGAGATGGGCAGAGGGTGCGGAGTGGGCAGAGGGTGCGGAGTGGACGGAAGCGGGGCATGGCTGTGACCACATAGTGGGAAGCGATGAGTGTGGTTCAGATGGAGACAAGGCAGGCGTGACTGAATGCCAGGAGCGCCAAGGGCTCAGGAACTGGAGGTAAGGTTGGAATACCGGCAGGGTCTAGGTTCTGATTATTGGCCAAGTCTCACGCAGTAAGGCAGGGGGCCAGACATGGGGTTGGGGGCTGGTTAGGATGGGTTTCAGGTCGGTGGATTCGCCTATCGGCATTGGTTCGCCGCTGACGGAGCCCCGGGATTTGTCGGTCGTGACAATAGCTGGGGAAATCTTCTCTATGTATGCCCATGTCGATGCTGGCCCAACGACTTTGAATGTGCTCTGTGGCCATGACTATGTAAGCACCATTTCCTTACACTCAAATGACGTACCTTTACTGCTTTAACATTGTGCTCTTGTAGCAAGTCTAAGCCATAGAACCCATCTGGAAGACCGGACAGGTTGACCAGCCAACAGTTCATCATAAGGAATTCCCTTTATCATCTATAAGTGTCATACTGATGATTCTTGTAATACTCACGCACCGCATCTCCTCTGTCCATTCCATATGGTAAGCCTGCATTAGATCCAAAAGCAAGTGTGTGTAGTTCTTGTTACCACCCCCGTGCATATGGCATAGGAGTGTTGGGACTGTATTCATCATCCGGCCAACGTCCCCGCTACAGATTGCATCGCACAGCTCATAATACATAAGGGCATCCCTCATGAAAAGAACAGCGCCCCAATGTACATGATCAATCCTGGGGTTGAATTCCAGGTGTGTCCCTTTCTCATTATCTTTTCTCTTCTTTCTTCTTTTGACATCTTCGGTAATCCCAATTCCCTCCAGAGCTTCGGAGGATGCAAACACTTCTTGCATGCGCTTCGCTGCCTGGACCAACTCTGCTGGTGAGAGTTCCTTCAGCTTTTCAAGACTGTCAACATCCATTAGCACTCTCCAACAATCTAGGATGTGTGCTTCAAGGGTATTGTCAGGGACGTGTCCGGGGTCGAGAGGGCCCGGGGGTAATGTCCGGCACTGAGGCCGTCGCGGGGTGTGGAGCGGGCGTGCGTACTGGTGGGCCTGATCCGGGACAGTGGTCCCTGGCCACTCAGACTGAAGTGGAGAATGTGTTATTATTATTAAAGGGGAAAACTATACTACTTACCTGAAGTGGAGAATGTGAGAAGAAGGTTACTTCTTCGGTTCCCACTTCAGGTACATTTATGTACATGCAGCTTGAGTCACATGATGGGTGCCACGTCATCCTCGGAGGCAGCCGCAGGCATCCAGGTGTCCCCATGGGGGATCCCGAGAGCGTCCGCTGCATGCGCGCGTGCTGGGCACAGCGGGAAGCTGTCTGGGGTGTGTGGGCCGGACGGGTCAATAGTACATTGATACAAAGGAAGGTGGTCCGTGTAGATAGAAAGAAATAAACAGGGAGAGGAAGATGAGAAGAATGAAATAAAGAAGGGGAAAGAAGAGGGAAAAGAAAGGGGAGGAGAGGGAGGAAGGAGGGGGAGGGGGATAGACAGCGGGGAGCGGGTGTGGTGTGGCCGGGTGGGTCCGGGTGGACCCGGGTCAGGCGGGTGTGCCCTGACAGGTATGCAGAATCCCCTCATGTAAGTTGTGGTACCATGGGCCACGGGTGTTGAGTTTATATAATGATTTCTGACCTAAGTGTTTGAAAGCATCGCTAAGCCCATGTCCAGCTGCAGTTCCAATGAACTGCTCATGTAGCGAAGTGGCAAATGTCAGCTGAACATGAAACCATCCGAAGGCGAGTACCATCCAATCATATGTTCTATTCCATTAATATTGCCTGAGTGCATACAGCACAGGCCTGACAGACAGTCAATCATCATGCCATCTCCCACAACTGGGATGACTGCTTCTGTTGCCAACCAATGTTGGTTCTGCGGGGTGTCCCAGCCCAAGTACTTAATGAAGCGCTCCAAGACTCGTGCATTCCCATCGTATGTGGCTTCATTTTCCTCCACTGTTGGCAGCATAAATGACTTTGTGATATGCTGTTTACCAACTGGGACCTGCTTGACTGGGGATGGAGGGGAAAGACATGGATTGTCAGCATGCTCGTAGCCCTCAAAAAATGGGGAGTTGAGGAGGAAGGAAAGGATATGGTGTGTATAAAATCGCTGCATTTTCTGCATTGGCTGCCGGTCCATCAGAATAGACAACAGGAACATCTCTCGCTGTCCTCGTACTCGGCCGGCATCAAATGCTGCCCAGTTGCACAGTCCTTGTGCAGTGGATGGGAGAGTGATGATTGTCATATCCGTGCATACCTGACCCCAACCCGACTTCCGGACCTCCACCCTCTTCACCTCTGGAGTCATAACCTACCGCTGCCGCTCCGATACTCACCTTCGGTCCTGGCAACACACCTCCTCCTTACCTCTCCGACCCTATCTCCGTCCGCTCCGATACTCATCTTGGACCGAACACCGCCCCTCTCGCCACCCTCCTACTACTCCGCTCCCCCTTCACAACACCTCCACCCTCCCATCATCCTCCTACGCTTCCCCTGTCCGCTCCGATACTCACCTTCGGACCTGACTACTCTCCTTTCCGCCACTCCTTCTCCCTTACCTTTCCCCTCTCTCCTCCCTCTGTTACTCCTCCGCCACCCTTCCGCCAAGTTATGACCTTCCACCGCTGTCCCGTACTTCGCACTCGGACACCGCTCGTACCTTGCTCCAAGCCTCCGTCATAGTCCCTACCTCGGGCTTTGACTCCACCTCGGTCTTAGTCCATTGCATTGGTGACCTCATACTACGTAAACACCATTGCCAATATCCCTCGGACTTTCAACCCCGCCTCCGTAACCTCCATAAGCTCCGCAACCCCCGAGCTTCGCAGATCGCCTTCGGCACTCTCGCCACTTGTAATGTATTTCTCGCGTTTTCCCCTCATCCCTATTTGGACTACTGCTTCTTCCTATTCTAGCCAGTTAGTCATCATCCCCACTTCCCCTCATCCTCCTGCCCCTCTGGGCCTCGCCCTCCCTACCTCCTTTCGGACGTATCACAGGTCCTGCCTTATGACCTTCGGTACCGCTCCGCTCCCTCTACCCTTTGTTCCCGTTCGGACGTCTTCGTTCCGATTCGGTTACCCTTTGGTTTCCTTGTGCTTTTGCCCCTTCCATTATATATATCGGCGCTTGTACATACTCGTTTTGGTTTAGTCCGAAATCGACCTGAAATGCCCCCTAGAGACTTCCTGCTCACCTACTGTGAAATTAAGGACCAAATGGACAAACAGCAATGGCACAGCGCTCTGCTTGAGTCGCTGAGGCCAAGGTCCCTCTACGCTAAGTCTCTGATTCCACTCCGGAGTCATCTGTTTCCGCCCGGTTCTAACAATGATTGTAAGTGCAGTCCCGCTTGAGAAACAGGATTGATTGCTGATCCTTTGAGAGTAGACATTTTCACATTGATTTATATTGTCATACAGCAAGAGTACACCACCATTGTTTGCTGTTGGACTTGCAAGCTGCTGAACAAGCTCTAGCTGTCGCTTGCCAATCATATCAATTGCTCTTGAGGACCATGAATAGCTCATGCTAATCCCAAGAGCATGAAAGGCATCAAAGAGCCAAACCGGGACACCATTTGCACGCATGTCCAGTGACAAAAGTTGCTGAAGCTGGCAATATTCATTTGAGGAACAGTATGCTGCAGCTGATACCATCATGAGGATGGTCTGGTGTAGAGTGAAATTATAAGTGATTTGCAAGCATTGGTGGAACTGCGCCTGCTCACCATGTTGGGGGATTTTGTCCTATTTTCCAGCACTTGCCTCTTCAGCCATGCTATGTTTTGCAGGATGCTCCAAACAGTATGTGCATTATCCTGAATGATCTTAATCATATCTATGGGATTAAACTTGATAATATGTTCTAGTTCAAACCCAGACTCGTTTGACTCTAGGTACTTTTTGATGCAGTCCATTTCCCTCCACGCTTGTTCATTTACATTGTTGATAGCCCACTCCAACATATCCTTCCGTGCGCGGCCATATCCATGGCCCCTATGTCTTTTTCTCCACCTGTCTAGAATATCTGGGAGATTATCATAGCATATCAGGCTAGCACGTTCAGCGCTTATCAACTGGTCCTCTGCCACATCTTTGGATTCAGTTCTAAAGCTGATGAAATCTACCAGGAGACCCAATGTGAGGCCCGCTTCCTGGATTCCTTTGAGAGCTTGTACGACTGCCATTGTCTGAATGCTTGTCAGGGCACACCCACCTGACCCGGGTCCACCCGGACCCACCCAGCCACACCACACCCTCTCCTTTCCCCTCCTCCCTCTCTCCCTCTTTCTTCTCTCTCTCTTTCTTCTCCTTTCTTTATTTCATTCTTCCCATCTTTCTCTTTCTGTTTATTCCTTCTATCTACATGGACCACTTTCCTCTGTATCAATGTACCATTGACCCGTCTGGCCCACACACCCCAGACGGCTTCCCACTGTGCCCAGCACGTGCACATGCAGCGGACGCTGTAACAGGTCTATCGCCTAGACTCAAGACAGAGAGAAGGGGGAGGGTGGTAGTGTGTGTGGGTGTGGTTCGTTGGGCCGGGTTTTGGTCCGTGGGTGCTACTGAGTCTGCAAAAACCTCAAACAAACACTCACCTACGTCTCTCTTGGACGTCAAGGCTGAGTATTATGATGTGAGGGGTCTTAGACATGAGCAACTAGCTCAGAGGGGGCGTTAGGGTCGTGGATGGCATCTTTGCCACTTGGATGCAACTTATGCTTGTCCCTTCACGGGTCTATTCAATACTCACTTGTTATGTACAAGCTGTTATCTAGTTTATATATGTTGGAAATGGAATGAATGGACTGGGGAAATGTAAACGGGCCGTTAGGCAACCGTAAATGATGAATATCCAATTGGGAACAAAGAAACAATAAAAGAAATATGAATGAATGGGGAAAATGTGACAATGGGTCCGAAATGGGAATTGTGAAAATTAACTCCGCAACAGTTCGCCACAGCGCCCGCCTATCCTCCCGTCAGCAATCTCCTCGTCTCCAGCTTTCCAACGAGCCCTTATTCATCCCAATTGGTGCAGTGGTTCTTGAGATGTGGAGAGGGGGTGAAATTGGCGGCGTGGTTGGGCGTGGGAATTTTGCTTGGGGTTGTCAGGAATGATGGGGAAAATAAGGAAAAATAAGGAATGAGTGTATGGAGTGTTGGATAGTGATAGAATGAGCATCAGGAGTGTCAGCGGGTATGTAGTGGGTGTTTGTGGCCAAATTCCGCAGAATCCGACTTTTTGCGGTACACGGAGTTGTCCCCACAACAACGCTCTCAGGATCCCCCACGGGGACACCCAGATGGCCGCAGCTGTCTCCAAGGATGACATGGCACTCGTCATATGACTCAAGCCGCATGTACATAAATGTACCTGAAGTGGGAACCAAAGAAGTAACCTTCTTCTCACATTCTCCACTTCAGGTAAGTAGTATAGTTTCCCCTTTTAATAATAATAACACATTCTCCACTTCAGTCTGAGTGGCCAGGGACTGCCATCCCTTCCCAGACCTGCCAGTATGCATGCCCAGTTCACACCCCCCGAGGGCCTCTCTGCTGGGCGATACATCCAGACCCCCTCTACCCTGGACGCATCCCTGACAATGCTCTCATTATCGGACAGATAATCACGGTGAGCCTCCAAGCCTGGATACTGCTTGGCAAAAGTGGGGAGTTGGGCAGGAATGGGGGAAGAATTGCTGGGGGTCGGGGAACCATCTGAAGCAATGCTGGGCGCTGGCGATTCACTACGGCTGTTCATGGTGGGGAGACAGAGAACTTTTAAGGGATCCAATCACTAATATTGCTGGATGTTTTGGGTACCACCCTATGCCTATATCTATAATATTGTACATTCTGGGTCCTGTCTATAGTATCAGTACATTTTAACAAGTTAGGTGACATGAAAAAACAGAGAAACAGTGGGTTCCAGCTCAGGTTTCGAGTCAGGGAATGTCATGTGCAACTGGAAAGTGGAATCGAGGTACGAAATCCACCAGACTCTCTGGTGGGCGACTCGAGAATGGTTTTTTCATCCGCTTTGGCACACACAAACACCAACACAACACAACACATCAATTCAATGCCCCTATGGTCACGCGCAGCCCACCAGAGAGTCTGGCACCGAGACTAATGCATATTAGCTGAGACTGAGGTTAGTTACATTCCTTTATTACTATTTCCTTTACTATTGTAACTTACAATATGTACATTACCTTCAGCTTCCCGCTTATAGGTAATACAATTCAGTTCTTCACGCATATTAGCTGAGACTCAGCTTCCCGCTTATAGTCCAGCTCCGAGATCATAAGTCGCTCATCAACACTCTCTCCATCATTCACCCATCACTTCTCATCATGCCCCCTTTACTGCCCACTTGTGCATACCTTGCACACTGTTGCCATTTTGAACAATAACAACTCGGCCGGCACTGATGCCAAGGTTAATATAATAAATTATGTTGCCAGCGGGGAGACATAAGTGAATGTAAATAAGAAAATGAACAAAGAAAATATGCGAAACTTGTGAAGATGTTGTCGACAACGGCAGCGGCGATGACGACGGATCGGAAGACGACGCCGGCAATACATTTGACGTATTGTAATTGAAAGAATTGGTCACGGGTACCCCAGAGCTTCTCGGGCCCTTCGGGCCCCTCCGTAAAAGCTTTTGCATGTAAGTACTGGTACACCGGTACTGCGATCAGGTGATGAGTAATAGGTGGTACAACCTCTCGTCAGCTCCGGACAAGAGTCTGCGAGCGATCAATTCATCATCTAACGTACTTCAACCTCAATCGAATGTTGGTCTTCACTGCTCAAACAAACACTCTTCCCCACTTCTAAGCTGAGAGAGAGAGAGTGCGCACGCGAGAGAGAAGAGATGATGATCTTCACTGCGCTTTTACAACTTCTTCTTGCCTACATCGGTGTCATCGCTGCCGCCCCTGCATCACCATTCGAAGCTAACCAAGGTCTTGCCAGCCTGGGGAACAGCTTAATAGCTAATCATAACAATGGTGGCGCGGGTCCAACCCTCGATGCTGAACTTTGGGGTCATATCCACTTCATCTACCAACTGATCCGGCCCCATCCTATCAACGTTACTGAGGGGGTCAGAGTCAACATTAGGTTTCTCGGGTATGTTTCCTTTTCTTTTCTTTTTCAAGGACACCTTAAACCGATTTCGTGGCTGACTCATTTCTTGGCTGCGCGATTAGTGGGACGTGGAGAGATACGAACGGACGGTTGATTGCCATAGTTCTTCCTGGTATTGGAGGAGATGAAGGATATACTGATAAGGCAGGAGTATTCCACGTAGGTTAGTCGATGCTTTTTCCTTTCCTCCAAGTCCCTCCGTCGAACGTTGAATTTTTTTTTTTTGCATTTGCCATACATATAAGATATTCGACAAACCGTTCGATTCGTGAGTGATGGAAGGTTCGGTTACGTACAGTTAACAGGCTACAAGATTGGTAACTACGCCAGTACCGTCGTGTCAGTCGTTTCTACATTCTGGGAGGGGGGGGGGAAGTTCGTCGTAACTAAAATTCTGTTTGTTTACAGATCCATCGAGACGGACTCGGCCGCTAACCTCAAATTCAACAACCGGATCATATACTCCCTCGGTACATTCTCCAAGACTGGCGTGTCAGCTCCTATTTGGGCACTGGTGAGTTCCATTCATCAATCGGTCCCCTCCCGTGCGCAACTCCTTTTTACTCATGAACATCCCCTTTTTTTCCCTGCTCTGTAATTAGGGACCATCTGCACCTCCCAAGATTAACGATGAAGTGGTTGAGAAGTGAACGACTGTTGGTTCTTAATACTTTTTTCCCTCACGACGATTCGAGCAACGTTTTTCTTTTTTTTTGCTTCCCCCTTGTTGCATGTTCCAAATTACTGTAAGGGTTTCATGATTGACTGTACTGCCGGCCGCTATATATTGCATGTATGCATGCAGGTCGACGACACGGATGAATCGCCCATCATGCAATGGCAATGGCCGTAGTTAGATCATGTAAATCACTATCAACGAATTGCAGTTGCACTAATTAACCTGCCCAGCTAAGTGAGTGACCTTGTAGGTATATATGGCCCCGGTCGATATTACAGTATAACCCACCAAAACCAATGTGCCAAGCTAGGCCTGTCGTATCTGCACTCGGGACGTTCCTTCCAAGGGACGACTAATTTTTTTTACGATTGCACTCAAATCAATGGATAAAAGAGTCCCATATGCGTTGACGTTGACTAATGGATATTTTTTTACACGAGCACAGAAGTGCAATTTGGAACAAGTACGACGGGCAAACAAACAAAAGAAAGAAAGAAAGAAACACTGCCCAAGATTGTCACGGGCCGGACACGAGCCCTGCGTCATAAACGGACGTTCACTCTTTCTTCACTTAGGCGGGAGTGCAGGCGGTCCCTATTATGAAGGGGGGAAAAAGGATTTAGTAACCGAACAACAAAAAAAAAAAAAAAAAAAAAAAAGCAGGTAACAGGGGGAAGACCCGATTTCGACTCACCACCGCCCAGATAGGAGCTGACACGCCGGTACTGGAGAAGTTACCAAGGGAATACAAAATTTGGTTGTTCCATTTGAGGTTATCGGCCGAGTCTGTCTCAACGGATCTGCCATTCGGGTCAAAAAAAGAAAAGAAAAGCCAGGTCAGCTGCGGGAATGTTGTGAAAAGAAATGATGTGAGTGAAGACTGACAAGATGGCAGGACCAAGATTTCCAAGTCTGAAACCTTTCAATTGGACGTAACCGTATCTTCCATCGCTCACGAACTGTATGGTTTGTCGAACATCTATTATAAATGGAAATGTCAATTCACAGTCCATCGGTGGTGGAAGCAAAATGAACTAACCTAGATGGAATACTGGAGGCTTTACGGTATCGAAGTACCCTTGTTCTCCACCGATACCAGGAAGAATTTTGGCAAATACTTTGCCATGCGGATCCGTCCAATTCCCTCTGTGTATAGAAACTCAGCAACTCTAAACAAGATTCACTTATATCCTTAAAAAGAGACCTACCCGAGAAACCTGACGTTGACTCTTCGCCCCTCAGTAACGTTGATAAAATGGATTTCACCCGGTGGACTGAACTGGTAATTGAAGTTTAGGTATCCCCAAAGTTGATATGGGGGGCGCCATTAGACAGCAGCTCGGGGTTGTACCCAACGAGACCATTGTCAACCTCGAATGGCGAAGGGGCGGTAGAGATGAGACCGATGTATGCAAGAGCTTGTAAAATGGTAGAGAAGATCATCGCGCTCTCTCTCTCTTTCTCGATCGCGGAGCGTAGGGGGGGAAGTGAAAGGAAAGAGAATGAACTATATATAAGAAAACATCCGGAGGGGGAACGATGAATTTGGAATTTGGTCTCGGAGACCCTCCTCCGGAGCTGACGGCTCGGAGGAGAAGAGTCAACCCTTCAACCAAAAGAAAAATGCAAATCCAAAAGCAGGCACAACTGATTCGCGTGATCAAAGTCCCACGACCTCCTTTTTTTATGCACATGTTGATGCCAATGGTGACAACAACCTCCATCTCTCTTGATAGCACTTCGGGGTTGTTGTTTCTCTCACCCTTCCCTTGTGTAGAGTGCGATGGAGGGGGTGGGTCAAGGCTGACTGTACCGTTCGCTTGCATGTCCAGTCAACTTGCGCGCGCGGCTGCCACAGAGCGGGCACAGAGTGCAACGATGATAACTTCAGCGCCTGTTTTTGGAACAAGAACCAACTCGAAGTGGAGAACGCAATTTAATAATTGAGACATATTTATTCTTTACATAACTCAATGCAGATCGGAACCGCTAAAAAAGTTGAAGGGTCTTACTGAAGCTATACTAGTTAGAGGCTACGTCAACTGAAGCCACCTGTTGATCTGAAGAATCAGCTTCTCCAAGGAAAAACCCTTGTGTTGACCAATCGGACTCCCCACCGGGCTTACATAATTGGCTGTTTATTACCGGAAAGAGTTTATGCCAATTCCCTACATAAGTCCGTAGGAATGAATTTATGAGTAATAATTGGGCGAACCCCGCGACCTCCGAATCTGACAGTGAGCGCTGTGTCGCATAGCCGCTTGTGTACAATACTCAGCTCCCAAGCGAATGTTCCTGTTCGGCTGCTGACCTCCGATTGCATGTACGACGCGAAGCTGATCTCAGGATGTCATCGGACCTCTATCACAGCAAATGCCTCATCATTCCACTCTAACAAGCGTTCCTGTTTGGTTCATAGCCCTCTGCATCCCTCAGGCTGCACTCACAGCACAAAGCTTCATCGGTGAGCATCGTCTTTCTCGGAAATGGCAGGGTATCTTTTGCCTGCCTGTCTCTGTACTTTTCTGCGTAATAGGACGTTTCCCGTTCACCACAGAGGATGATAACTCGAGACCGTGGCCAGGATCGATTGCGCTCCATGACCAATTTGGTTCGGCCCCAAACATGGTAAGGGAGTCGCCTTTCTTCCTCCGACGTACTGTACACGACACATGCAAATTAATGCAGCACTCGTGATGCACAACGTCTTCCATGGCCGTCTGGTTCAATATTGAGCACGATCGAATGAAACACTTCCTTCGTCCCTTTCGAACTGAGCTGAAGCCATGGACCTGTCACTGAGCTCGCGATTCTCATGCGATGACTCGTTCGATATGGCTTAGAACCGATCCTCGATATAATCTTACCTATAAATGTCAGCGGCTCTCGTGAAGCCGGACATCCCCTAAGTATCCGATACTATCGCACTTCCCCACCTCCTCATGGATGTTGGCTCTATAATTATTTCTGGTCTCATGAGGATTTGACTAGGTTCCAGACTAGACGACGCTGAAAGAACAATGGAGGGGGGGGGGGGGGATTTTCTTTCCTTGAAGGATTCGGAGGATTTCTAGCCCATTCTCGCATCTACCCCAACTTCACTCTCAGCGCTCGAACCTTCCAAACACGACTTTCGATCATTCTCTCGCCGTAAAATGGTGTCCTCAGCCCGGCTCTACTCCAGTCTGCCAGGGAAAGGCTGGCTCGTATTAGCTTTAACACATTTACCCACCTCTTCGTTCTGCTTCCGTGAAAGCCCGGGTCCGGCGAAGGCTCGAAAGAGAGAGCCGGACTTTGTGCATGGCACAAATTCCAGCGTGAAATTCGCCAACTTCCAGTCGTGGGGGGGGGGGGTTATTCCCACGAAACGTCGTCTAAGCTCTAATTGTTGCCACGCACCCAGCCCGCTTCTACAACACCTCACTCTCAACATTGGAGAGGTTGGGCTTTAAGATCTTGGGGTCTTTCCGGCCTCGTTGCGTTGTTCGGATTCTCCAGTGTTTGGCTGATTATGGTCTTCCTTTTTTTCCATTGCCTACTGTTTCTCTCTGTTCACTACCACCACGACGTACTCCCCCTGCCCCCTGCGCCAATGTCAAGATGCCGATGCCTTCTCTAATCACCATGTTTACTGCCTGACAAGGGGGCATTGAGAAAAAAAAAATTCTCGCCGTCCCTCCGATATTTTGTACTGCAAACGGAGCTTCTGTAATCGATTCTTTCTACCCTCTTCGAGATGAACACTCAAACCGGCTCCGAATTCGTTCTGAAATTAATTCCTAATGGAAAGCTCCAACGATTTAGATCGTTTTGGTACGCATCGAGTAAATCGAGAAACACCGTTCCATGCTGAGGAAAGGGAGGATCGAAAGAGATGCCTGATGGGAAGAATCCGATGGACCATGGATCGAACGATGGGAAGGTCTGATGACATGGCAATTCCCCTTCCCTTGTAGGTGGAAACTCTTGCTGGGCTGGTCCCTTGCTGTTGAATGCGTGCTTGGAGTGAAGAGACTCGGTATGGGACCTATTCATTGAGCAGCAGCCTTATATATCTACCCTAGTTGGAATGTGGACTAGATCGAACTTATTTTTATGGTGATAGCTTACTGTGCATTATATTCTATTATCAGGTCGCTTGACGATTCCATCCACTGCATGTACGTGGATCGAGGGTCGTATATACTGGGTGTCCCAGAAA